CAATGGTGAAGATTTTTGTTTCTATGATGTTGAAATGTAACTCATATTGAATGCTGTATTCTTTTATTTTCGTAGCAAGTTCTTCAAGTCTTCCTCACTTTCTACAAAGTGTGTCATCTGTATGACTCAGGTTGTTGATGAGTCTTCCTCTAATCCTGATGCTGCATTTCTCTTCATAGACCCTAGCTTCTCAAATGATTTGCTCAGCTGTCTAGGAGAACAAGCAGGTTTATCCTAGAGAGGATGAAACCAGGCTGCTTCTTGGAGGCAAGGATTCTGAAGCTTCATCTGACATACTTTGGGCATGTTGTAAGGAGAGACCAGTCCTTGGAGAGGGACATCATGCTTGGGAGGGTGGAGGGATAGCACAGAAGATTTTTGATGAGATGGATTGATTCAGTGACTGGGGTAATGGGGGTAGGTGTGTTGGAGACATTAAGTTTGGCACAGTATAAAGCAGGGTTTGGGGCTGTAGTACATAGTGTCACTATGAGTTGCAAGCGACTTGATGGTACATAACAACAACAACAACACAGATTAAATAAGTATGGAGAAAGGATATAACCCTGACACACACCTTTCCTGATTTTAATATCTACAGTATCCCCTTCTTCTGTTTGAATGATGATCAGTAAATTATGCATTTTTCTCTTTGGACAAACTGGATAGTTGCCTCTTTCTGATGTTTAGAGACATCTTTTCCAGCTTCAAATTAAGCTTGCTATCCCATGCTTTCACTGAGAGATCTTTTCCTGAACCACATTCTCAAAAGAACAAACAGTAAACCAAGGGGAAACAAAGGATTCTTAAAGATGAACCATCTACATAGAAGTGACTAGATAGAGCCCATGAAGCTTTACACCATTCTCATCCAGCCTGGGAGCTGTGTAATGTCCTCAGCTTTTGTTTGTTGCCCCAGGTTAAAAATGGACTTGTAGAACCCTTAAGTCTGCTAAAAAAAAAAGGATAATTCTTCTGAAGGTTGTTATTTCTGTGGCATCTGTATACTTGATGCTGTGGAAGTGGGTGAAGAATTACATTTTCACTTTCCTTGTCATAACAAGAGCTTATTCCTGTTTCACAGCTTGAACCAAGTATTAGAAATTTAGCAGAATTGACTATAAATCTGGATAATTGCAGTTGAAGACACTCGCTTTTCTTGGAGCTGAAAAGTGTTACAAGCTTTACATGTAAAGTGAGGGAATGTTTGACAGCCTTTGATGATGGCATATTCTATGTGTCCCTGAAATACTAATGCCAGAGGGATCCTGTAACTGAGAAAGAGCCACCCTCATGTTTGTTACACTGCATTTGCTTCATTGACCTCTGCCGCTACCTTTTCTGGACTGTGAGCAGAGTGTGTTGATATGTAAAAAAATCATAACAAAATACTATAGAAAACAGTTTTATGGATGTAGTTCAAGAAATTGTTTATTTAATCTGTTTCCTGGCTGTTGAACCAGAATTGATTTCTAGCTGACCCTCTAGCTGATTTCAGAGGCTGTAAATTGGAAGCAGGAGTGGCATCCACTTCGTAAACCACATGCCTCTGGAAACTCTATGAACTTTGAGAAACATCGATAGTTATAGAAGGCTTCAGGTCTTTTGTTCATAGGGTCACTATGAGTTGTGCTCCACTCAATGACAATCAACAACAACAGCAACAAATTGCATGCGGAAGTAACTGTCCTTTTTTGTTCCCGGGAGCAGCTAAGTAGATTTGAACCATGTGCCTTTGGTTTGGTGGCATGACGTTCTACCAACTAGGCCACTGATAGTACTTCTGGTTAGTGGTAAGGAGTTGCACTGTCAACCTAAAGGTACTCCTTTCAAATCCAATAGCTGCTTCACAGGAGAAAGATAGACAGTTGTTTCCCATGCAGTAGACAGCCTCTGAACACCTGCTGGAGGGGCGGCGAGGAGTCAGATCCGACGTGATGGTACACACCACCACCACCACCACCACCACCACCTCCACCACATATTCTAGGTGGTTCTTTTTTTTTTTTTCAGGGTGTTGTATCTAGTCACATGAGCAAATGTTCATCTTTCCTATTTTATTCTCCTTCAGCAAGCTTTAGAGTTTACATTTTTAGATGACTCCCCCTCATCTCAAATTTTTCCCCCTCAAAAGCATATTATGTGACCATGATTCAGTTAATGAAAGAGCGTTATAAACATTTTGGCCCATTTTACAAAAGGAAGGAATATGCTTACAAAGGGGGAAAATCTGTTCGGCATGTTGTCAAGGTAATTGGCTTGCAGTTTGCTTTAACTGGCACTTTACGTGTTCCTGTGTGGAGGGTAGTATTGGACTCCGTGTCTTCCTTCAAGAGGACGGGAACTTGGGAAGGAATGGCTTTCCCATCTGCTGGTGCCATAAAGCAGCAGTAGTAATGACCAGTGAGCAAGTGACAAATCACTTCATACTAACTGAGTGGGTCACTGAGATGAAGGAGTGAAAGTGACTGTGACCGCCGGGTGGGGGGAGCTACAGAATCACAGCCTGCCCATGGCCATCATTGGCTTTGTTTCCTGCTGGGCAATACCAGAATTCCTGTGTTTCAAGGGTACTGAATAAAGCACCAAAGCAGATTGAACACAATGTTACGTGTTTTGTAGCTATATTATTGTTCCTGAATTTCTGTTTTTGTCTTCTGTCTCTTACTGCTGTCAAGTTAGAAGCAACTCATAGCTGACCCTCCAGCAGCTGTAAATCATTGCCCATTTCTCCCTCAGAGCCAGTAGTGGATTCAAACCGCCAGAGAAGCACAGGCTTTGGGGTAGCAGCACAGCACCCTGCTGACTGCCCCAGCAGAACTCTCTCCGTGGCGTTACAGTACACACGGATCATTTCTTTTATGTGTAGGAGGGAGAGTGGAGAGAGGAATATCATAGTCAAGTTGGGTTTCCACTTGTTGTCTCTGCTTCATGCCCTCATCCTCGTTGGTTTCCTTCCCTACATGAAATATTGATTGTCGTGAGCATCAGTGTGTCCTGTGGGGTGGTCACAGGACAGCTTGGTGAATATGACCCTATCGGCAGCAGATTTCCTTTCATAACTTTGAGATGGCACAGTTCACGTCACTATCTAGCACCATTTTCTTTAAAGCTACAGAAGGACTGTAAGTCTGGCTAATGACTTGCACCATGTTTCATCACTCCCTTTGACCAGAAGGTTCTATGTGTGCAACACTTTACCTGTGGACCTTTCAGAGGGAGTTCCCAGTGTGCACATCTGGTGTTTAACTGGTGTGCGAGAACCTGCAAGAATGACCCCCTTGCTATCATGTCCCAGGCCTGTCTTCATGCAGGTCTGGGCCCAGCAGTGGGTTCCTTCTGTATCTATGTTTAAAGCTGTACAACGAGAGCTGAAAGCTCTTTGTGGTGAAATCTGGTCTATAGTTCCCAGTGGATCTGAGATCAGGTGGAGATGGAGGTCTTTGTCAATACTGATAAGAAGTCACCTCAGATCACCTTGTATGTGGATGAGGTGGGGGTCTCTGTTAGTGAAAGGATCACCCTGGATCCACCCCGTAGGTGCTCAGTGGACCTGAGATCAGGTGGAGGGGGAGGTCTCTATTAGTGCTGGTGAGAGGTCACCCCGTATCACCCCGTAGGTGCTCTGTGGACCTGAGATCAGGTGGAAGTGGAGGTCTCTGTCAATGAAGGTGTCACCCCAGATCACCCCGTAGGTGTTCAGTGGACCTGAGATCAGGTGGAGGTGGGGTCTCCATCACCGCTTTTGCAGAGGTTCCCTCCCTGACATCATCCCATTCCTGCAGTTACAGCACTAACTTTGTAAAGATTATTGCATCTATTAAAACTGAAGATCACAAACTTTGCGAGCACAGATACCATGCCTTCACTGAATAAACATCCATTCTCACTTGTGCTTTGAGTTTATTAGAGTTCAGAGAAGAGAGTCAACCACTATTTTAACGTGCAATTTTATCTGTTTGTTTAATCACACATTAACGTCATTCATTAACAGAGTTAGGGAATCAAAGTTAGTAAAGCGCATGGCTTGTGTCTGTGAGGTGTCGCCTTGGGCAGGGTGCCAGGGAGACAGGTTCCCCATCTCCACCCAGGGCTCGTGTGCTCCAGCAGGTCTGGGTGACAGGCTGGCAGCATGCAGTGCTGATAAGAGGCTTCTTTTGCCCAAAACTCGGGATGCGGGTGTTGTTGGCAGAGAACACAGAAGGAAAGGCTCTGTTGGGAAAGTGTTGGCGTTGTGAGATTGCTTCTCGCCTACCACGTGTGTGCACTCTGGTGGTGTCATCTGTACCCTAAATGCCCCTTTCTGACAGTTTGAATCCCCTGGCCACTCCATGGGAGAAAAGAGGGACAGTCTACTACCATGAGATTTAAAACTTTGGCAACCCACTAGAGGGTCAACCATGAATTGTTTTCTACTCAATAGCAAAGAGCTCTTGTTTCTAAGTGGCATTTAAAATGACCAGTCTCCATGAATAAATTCTTTGGTTTTTTTGTTGTGAGAATGCATGTTATGGGAGCACAGGCTATACAAGTTAAGGCGGGGCCTTCTGGTGTGCCAACAGGCCTTTCAGCCAATCTCTCACCCCTTTTGAGCTCCATCTCCTGCTTTTAAATGAATGGGCTTAAAAGAGAAAATTTCCTAAAATCTTTAAGCTCTAAAGTGTTATTATTTTAGGGGTAAAAAGGAAGAAATTTAATAAAGATGAATGGGAAGAGGAAACAAAAGGAATTTTAAATAAAAGAGATAGGCTTAAATATTTAGATGTTTTCTCTGCAGATCTTCCGGCCGCTGCCCATTTTTCCTGGCCAGATTCAGGCTGGCTCCCAAAGCCCGCTTTTCAGAAGAGCTCCTTTAAGTTGAAAGATGGTTGAATAGACATCTATCTTTTAGGATTCTGCTCTTCTAAACTAGTTTGAAAATTAAAAGATGGCCCAGTTGTAGGCACTTGCATCATTCTCTTTGTAACCCTTATGTTCGTGTGTTCACTTTTGGACTCCAGCTCCTGAGGAAACGTCACATAGGAAATGACATCGTCACCATTGTCTTCCAAGAGCCCGGGGCACTTCCCTTCACTCCAAAAAGTATCCGGTCTCATTTTCAGCACGTCTTTGTCATCGTCCGAGTGCACAGTCCCTGCACAGAGAACGTGTGCTACAGGTGAGTAGCACCAGGCGAGCGTCCTTGCCCCTCGTCACCCCGCCTCCTTCCCAGTTCCCACCTTCCTAGCCAGAGAATCTCCCAAGATGCCTTTGCTTTTCTGACTCCCCTCTCACCCTCCACCTCATCTCTTCTTCTTTTCCCTGTAATTATACTTTCTACTGTCATCACACTAATGACAGAGGGGGCCTTGGTGGCTTAGTGGTCAAAAGCTCCACCATAATTCCAAAGAAATGCAGGTCAAATCCACCAGCTGCTCCATGGGAGAAGATGGACAGTATCCTCTTGTGAGCCCCTTGGAGGTTCCAACTTGGCAGCACAGCATCACACAATAAAAACTGTCATCACTAAGCTATTTTCTCTAAACAGTAATTGCCTCCTCCCTCTTCCTTCCCCTTCAAAATGCCCAACAGTTCAAAATAGTAAACTCCACATTTCTTCTACCTTCCCTTAATAAACTGTACCTTGCCCACCCGTGGTGAATCTAGAAGCTTGATTGATACACCCTCTATGCAGGACCATTTGAATTAAAACTTTTCAGTCAAATTAATTCTTTTTTTTTTTAATTAAAGCATTTCTTCTCATTCCAAAATCATGGAAAGACTTAATCCCACAAGGATGTTGAAGCGGGTCATTGGTGTTGGCTTTGGTCGTTTTAGGAGAGAGGCCTGTAAGCAGATGCCTCAGAAGCAGGCTCTGACGAGGCTTCTTGTGGCCGTTCTCTGGACCTAGCAGTGGTCACAGCATCACAGGGAAGCGGAAGCAGCAGGAAGCATGGACTGGCGTTCCAGCAAACCTGGTTTGATACTCAGCTCCAACACGCATCACAGCCCTTCTTGGAGCACTCTTGTTCTGATCAGTCTCCAATTCCTTGTCTTAAATCGAGGATCACAGAATCCACTTTGAAGTGTTGTTGCAAAGAATAAATAGCATGTTTTATGAAAAACACCTATTAGAGCTCCTGGCTCTTGCCCACGTTCATTTATAATCTTAAAAAGAGTAGTTGCAAATCCAGTGCCAGCTAAGGGTCAGCAGGTACCCTGAAAGCTCTGTGGGGACTGCAGCAAACATAGGTTCACTGTAAGTCACAGTCGGCTCACGGCACATAACACAGCCCCTACTGACCACATTGGTGAGCACGCACACGCTGAGGGCAGGAGTTACCTGTAGCCAGGGAAAACTAATCTCTCTGTGAGATGTGGCCCCCTCCACCAGTGCATCTTTATAAAAAGTCGCAATCGTCCCTGGTTCTAGCCCTAAGAATAGCAGTGCCCACACATGAACCTGGTCCCCACATACACCTCTGCACATTCCTCCTCTGTCTCCAACCCCTGCCCTAATGCTGGGCCATCATGCCTTAGAGGTCAACCTGGCGCGCTTGAGTCCAGTGGACTCTCAAGGCAGCCTCTCACAGGACATTAACAGAAGATTCACTCTCTCTGCCATCAAATCCAAACCTGTTCATAGCTGGCCCTCTGTTTAGTTTCCGAGGCTGTAAATGACACGAGAAGAGACAGGCTCTTTTTCTCCCACCGAGCCACTGGTGGATTCAGACTGCCATCAGAGAGGCAGGGCCTTTGGGTTTGGAGCACAACTCCCTGTGGACTCTGTCCAGAGCTCCAATTGGTCGGTATAAAAAGGTTTTACTTTGTGGAGATTCACCTCTAAACTGTGTGAGGGCTGCCTGTGTATAATAACGTGCTCACACCCTCTCCAAACTGTGTACTGTCCTGTTCAACAGGATGTGTCATGGATTTTGAGTGGTGCGCACTCATATCCTGATGTAACAGATCTGGTATAGCCTAAGCACCTTCAAATTTCTTACCAGCATGTTGCTGAGAGATATCTGGGTTAGAGGAGATCACTGCTGAAAGATACAGGGTACTTACTCTGCACACCAGTGCCTCAAACAGGTAATGCTGGTGCAGACACAGTGGACTTAGCCCCTCTTCTGGATCTCTCCCAAGCAGGGGTATTTATGCGAATAAGCTTAGCTCAGCCTCCTAACAGATTGGAAACATGTATTTGGCTTCTATTTTTAGATCTAGGAGAATATTTTTAATGTCTTTCTTTGTGCTTATATCATGATGTGATTCATTAGAATAGTCATTTTAAGAATAATTCCTCTCTTTTTGTTTTTATTTCTTTCCGATTTTTCCAGTTAGAATTAAATTACTGGGGGAGGGACATTTTTGAAGCCAATGTTGGTGTAGATCTTACACATAAACAGTGATGTACGCTGCCTTGTTCTCTTGTGATAAAGACAGTATGTGTAGACTGTGCATGGATAGGGCCACTGGTGTTTAGGAATCTGCATTCTTACCATTAAGTTGACATTTTCTAATAAGTTGAAGTGTAAAGTCAGTAATACTATGCCTCACATTGGCAAACGTGCCTCATAAACATTCCTAATCTTTGCCAGTCAGAGAATCAATAACCATTTTTCTGGAATGTTTTAGTCAAATCATTTATAACGCTTTCTTTGCTCTGTCCTATGGGATAAGGCTCAAACAGTGAGACAACATACTGGGAAGGGTAGAGGGTCAGGGAAGGAGAGGAAGACTCAACCGGTGGATTGATGGAGTGATTTCTACAGCAGCCCAAGTGGAACAGAGACCGTGCGGATGGGGCTGGATAGGGCAGCGTTGAGACTGTTGTCCATACGGTCACTGTGTAATCATTTTTCTGGATTATTTTAGTCAATTCAGTGTTGTAACGTTTTATAAAGTAACTGTCACATTTTTAACTTTTAGCATTGTTTGGGGTTTTTATTAATAATTTTTAATGCAACACATACATTTTTTGCAGTATATTCTTTCCATTTAATTTTCCCCCCATTCATTCATGTTGCACATTTTCCTCCCTGCCCACGCCTACCGCCTGTTCATTTTTCTTTGAAGAAAAAAATATACTTTCATTGTTACACAATACCCCCAGTCCACTTTAATATGCATTTCTTTTTTTGCTATCTCATCATGAAAATAATACCTAATCCTATATTCCTTTTAAAAAGTTTTCTCCCTCAACTTTTTCAATGCAGTGTACATTGCTTATCCCCCCTTTTCTTAGGTTCGTCCCCCACCCCAGTGTCAGTCCTGTTTTATAACAGTGGTACTTTGCAGTATTTTTCCTTTTGCGACTGAGATATTTCACCTAGCATTTTTATAAAGCAACTACCAACATTTTGCAAAGTGAGTACCACAGTGGGCTTGAGCAGGACAGAGATGATGAGGATGGCACAGGAAAGGACAGGGTTCAGTCTGTTGTTCACAAGGTCACTATGAGTCGTGCTCAAAGGAACCTAACAACAACACTGTGGAATAAGGTGCCCTGACATATGGTCGAGGACTCTCCTTCATAGGGTCGCTATGAGTCGCCTGCGACTCGACGGCACTTAACAACAACAACAACAACATATGGTAGGTCTGTTCAGTGTGATACTTCTCAAAACAAGCTGACAAAATAAATTCATTAAATTAATGTTTAAGGAAAGGATAATATAGAGCCCAAGTCAACTCTTATCTAGATTGTGTGTTTAGATCCAGAAGATTCCTTAGATCACATCTTTCTCAGGCCAGCGCCCTGGAGGCTGTTTCTCTCATGAGATTGCTGCAGGTCTCCGTGCTTGCCTGAGTGAGGAGGACCCACAGAACCAGTTAGTGAGGACCCATGTGCTACGTAGAGAGCAGAGAAGACATCAGATTAAAACCATGCAGCCTTAGTGATAATGTCGTACCCGCCTCATAGTATTGCCCCTGCATGCAGGAGTCTCCTCAAGAGTAACAGGCCCCCAGGTTCATGCTCTATATCATTTTACCCCGAACAATTTAGGAGGAAGATATAACAATTTACCTGTCTCCTTATGCAAAATATCTGTAGTTTGCATAATTATAGTTAGCCTCATATAACTAACTTGGAGGAATTTGTCGTCATTCCCTTTCAAAGATAAACTGTCAAATCATGAGTTAGTGGCTGACTGAGATTACCGTGCAGACCTGGAGGCTAAAGGTTAATGGCTGAGAGCTGTCTCTAAAAAAGAACTTCATTCTTTAGGAAATGCAAGATGCCGCCTCTTTTAACAAAAATTAGATGATAAGTTCAATCGGCCACTAGTAGTGATTGATTGTGACATTAATAATGGCACTTGAACCCCCACAGGAGGCTTTTGGAGTTGGCACTGCTTTAATCTCCTCTGCAGGTGAGGAAACAGGGTTAAGTAGCTAGCCGAAAGTGGCGCGGTGTGTGAAGCAGGTTCCACGTCCAGCTCCCGACTCCAGACAGTGTGCTCTTCAGCACTTTGATCTATTGTCTTGACCACATGCTTTATTCTCAAGTCCTTCCACTTGCCTGTTTAGCAGTGGTCATCATTTTCTCTCTGGGCAGTAGGGAATGAAGGACTCAAAAGAGTGGACACTGGATGAAGGCAACCTGCTACAACACCTCCACTCTTTATCAGTGACAGTTCCTGGGTCCCCGCTGCCCACAACAGCTCCTGCTAGCTCCCATTCTGAGGCCATCTATATTGGGAGGTGGAGGGGTTTCGTCTTTCAGCCATCATATGCTGTCAAATTATTTGTATAAATAAGGACTGCATTCTTATTCCAAGCCTGTATTCTTGCTAGTCTCAGATGTACGTGAAAAATGGAGGATTATGTAAACTTTTGTTGGAGTTGGTAACCCAGAGTTTGGTGATTCAAGTCCATCAGGGACTCCCAGGAGGAAGATGGGCTATTGCTTCTTGTAATGATTTGCGGCCTTGGAACGGATGAGGAAGGAGGGTCACTGTGGCCTGGAACCAATTTGACAGGATGGGTTTAGTACTGTAGATGTAGATTTGACTTCCTCATTCCATGTACTGTCAACATTTTCCTGCTATAAAAACTTAGTTTAGGTTTTCAAAATGTGAGGATCATTTAAAAAAATTGTCTTATAAATATGATGGGGCTGAATTCCATTCTGCTGGAAATACCATCATGTTCCTCAGGTTCTCTAGCTGCAGAATGAGACTGCTCTTGCCCCTTACACATTCTGGATCTGCCTGCACTGTCCCATTGGTGTCTCTGACCCCATCAGTTGAGTGTAAAAGGTAAGATTTTGGCTAAAAACAAAACTTTTTAACAAAAGATGAAAAACCTCTGGGATATCCAGAAATTAGGAAAAGAAGCTAGATAGACGGGCTCCCAGCTTGATAGTTGGAAGAATAAGCGTGCCTGAGATACAGAAGAGAATATTGTGGCCTCATTGTTTTCGTTTCTCTTCCACAGTGTTGGAGTTTCCAGATCAAAAGACGTGCCACCATTTGGTCCACCAATTCCCAAAGGCGTCACTTTTCCAAAGTCAGCAGTGTTCCGGGACTTCCTCTTAGCCAAAGTGATCAATGCAGAAAACGCAGCCCATAAATCAGAAAAATTCCGGGCCATGGCCACTCGAACGCGGCAAGAGTACTTGAAGGACCTGGCAGAGAACTTTGTCACCACAGCCACTGTGGATACCTCTGTGAAGTTCAGTTTTATTACACTGGGCGCAAAGAAGAAGGAAAAAGTGAAGCCAAGGAAGGATGCACACTTATTTAGTGTTGGTGCAATCATGTGGCATATCATTGCGAGGGACTTTGGCCAGGCTGCTGACATTGACTGCCTCCTTGGGATTTCCAATGAATTTATAATGTTGATTGAGAAGGATTCCAAGAATGTTGTGTTTAACTGCTCCTGCAGGGATGTTATTGGGTGGACTTCTGGATTAATGAGCATCAAGGTGTTTTACGAAAGAGGAGAGTGTATCCTTCTGTCTGCAGTGGATAACTGTGCTGACGATGTGAGGGAAATTGTTCAGAGATTAGGAGTAAGTACATGTTTTATTTTTCCACTATCCTTTCTTCACTTTCAGGTTCACGGTCATTTTTGTTATGGAAATTTGACCCTAGTTACAGCATGAAGGAATGAATTACTACACAATTCCCCCAGCCAGCCTGAGGGATGAAGGCACAGCCATTTGCTGCTGTATTTGCAACTTCACAAACCCAGTAGGGGTCACTGTGCATAAGAGTCCTCTGAGTGGCAGTGGTGGTTTTTATTGTTTTGTTTTAATGGGCACAGTGTAATTTTAAATGCTGAGTCTTTTTGAGCACCTGCTAAATCAAGAAGTGTCTGGCATAAATGGATTGGAAAGGAAAACATAAACCACCTTTTAAAAGAGAATGTAGGCAGATGTTCGTATAATATTTGAAGCAAAAACAATATTGTCTAGATAGTATATCTCTTTATAAAACATTATCTTCTCAGACATTGTTTTCTCAAGGAGGAAATAGGAGCACAATTGCTGATAACTGTATCAATATTTAAAACTTATCTATAGATTCAAGGCTGAGCATGTTTTTACTGGGTGGGTGGGTGCGTGTGTGGGTGGGTGGGTGGGTTTCCTCTAGTGGGTAAAGGGGACCAACCCAAACAAAGACAGGTGCTTTGAATCAGTCAGCCCCTCCAAGGGTGAGAAATGGGTAATCTCTTCACATGAGATTTATATCCTCTGAGAACCCACAGAAGGCTCAGCTATGAGTAGGTTCAAACTCAAAGACACATAACAACGTACACACACACCAGAGCTCTGGTGGCTTAGTCTAGTGTATGAACTGTGCTGATATCCCAATGGCTCTGAGGAGAAAGATGAGCAATCTCTTCCTATGTAATTTGTCCAGAATCCATTGGAGAGTCAGCTACAGGTTGTTTCTGATTGTCCCGCAATGAGCTGAGTATGTATGTATGTATGTGTATGTGTGTTTAAAACTAGTATTTATCTAGCATTACTGTAGTCATTAAATGTATATATCAGTAAATATTTATATGCATGTGTGTATGTGTGTGTGTATAAATAAATGTATATAATCATTAGTCTTCCAGGTATAGTTTTTCTTAATTTAGAAAAACTTAAGGTAAAAAGCCCAAATAGACTTGTATAAGATTCTCATAAAATGTGGTTTGCACCCCTACATAATATCCATGCTGTTCAACAGTTTTAACTACTCCAATTTTTAACAAACTAAGATTCAGATTTTTGTTTGAGTTTTACAAGAGAATAATAACAATAAAACAATGTCCATTTTTGTTCTATATTCCTTTGAGAGTAGGGATTCTCTATGTCATCTAAGAAGGTACAGTATTTCCTATGCTAGAAAATATTTAACCAACTATGGATTATGAAAAAGGAAAAAGTGTATTCATTTCCTGTCTGCTAGCAAGTATGAATCTCTCCTTTGTTAATCAAGACCACGCAATAAAATTAAGTCAGTGTATGATCGCCATGGGAGCCTGATGCGTAATTTTCAGACTTTGTCCATGGTGTCAATAGTATTCTGTGCTTCTGAAAGCAAAACCACCACCACCCTTCCTCAGACACTAAATGCATGGTTGTTTATATTTCATGGATCTATGTGGATGGGTCTCAATATCAAGAAAACAAAGATTCTTACCACTCAACCAATAGGCAGTGTCATGATGAATAGAGAGGAGATGGAAACTGTCAATAGCTTTATCTTGCTTGGATCCATAATTAACACCCTTGGTAAGGAGACACAATGCACTGGGAAACTCTGCAGTTAGGGACCTCTCCATGTTTTTGAGGAGTAGTGATGTCAGTTTGGTGCAGACACAGGACGGGACAGGAGCCCAGAGGAGCAGTCAGGGCTGGTGACCTGGAGGCCAGTAGCACAGCTGCATAGGTCCTGCGCTCAGATGGACCCACTCGTGATCCGATGCTCTGTTCCCACCTTTGTGAAGGGGTTAGAGTATGGCACTGCATTTTTAGTTTTTATTTTGTGTGGGCCCCAAGTCTTAGTGGTCAGTGCTAAGCACAATCGTTAGAGACTGCCATTGTTATGGTAATTAGCATGCGTATATGTGTGTGAAAATCTTCATATAAACGAAGAACATTGCCCTGCTTGTTCATCCACTGGGAATGACAGTAGAGAAGATGAAGAAGTAGCTGAAGGTGAAAGGGAGAGATGTGGCGAGTGTTTGAAGAAATTGTATAGGTCAGACACTGGTCAAACTCTGGCAAGGTTCACTCATCAGTTTGATGCATGAATTAAGTTTCAGCTGGTAATAATATTATATTTGAGAGAAGATAGAATTTATTTTATTCCCAGTCTTTTGGTGAAGAGAGTTAGGGGGGAAAAAAGAATAAAGGAAAAATTTGTTCAGATTCTCCATATTACAAAAATACTTTTTCAACAGTTTTAAATTAGTCCAATCCATAAATTTGGAAACTTGAACCTTTCAGCACTTTCCCATGTGCCAAGAATAGCTACCCCTTTCCACATTTCCTTAAGTCCCAGACTGTCACATGTGTGAAAAGCTGGGTGCGGACATGTGTGCCCCCATACATGGGGGTAGCCGGGGCAGCAGCAGACCTTGGGACAGCACTTAGGGCTGCAGGCCTAATGACACAGGTGTCTGTGTGTATAGCGTGCTCCGCGGAAACTGTCCTCTGCCACCTGAAACTTCATACCAATAGTGCCTAAAGCTCTAGGGAACCCACATGCTGTGCCGTCAGACTTTGCGTCCCACATGAACAAATGATGCCATCGATAGTGTGTGATGGGCCCCTCTTCTTCCATTGCTAGAGGTTGCTTTCACAGAACAGGGTGCTGTTCCACTAATGCACAGGGGACCACAGCTGCCTTCTTCCTCCCATGCTCCCCTTTGTAGGAGAGGGGCAAGTGCCAGGCCACTCCTGCTGATTGCCCAGCTGCCCTGGAGTTACAGGTTTGACTATGACATGGCGGAGGCAAGCAGGAACCTGTAGGCACTCGGGGCTCAGCTGTCTGCAGGGGCATCACCTGCTAACGCTCCTTGTCCCCAGATTATGGAAGGCTCTGTGGGTGGCACATACATGGCCTGGAGGTCCCTTAACACCTAGGCTAGTGGCCAGAGCAGGGCGCAGGCAGGCCTCATGCTGTGATGGCAGCAGTTATAGACCTTTTTCTCAAGATTCTCACCTGCTGCCCTCCTGGAACTTGGGAATGGTGTGGGCCTTTTATGAACAGTCAAGTGAAACTGACTCTGAGATGTATTTGAGAAGTGAAAGTTGCACATATTTTGAAAGAGAGAGAGAGAGAGAGAGAGAGAGAGAGAGAGAGTGTGTGTGTGTGTGTGTGTGTAAGTTCAGGAGCCAAATACATAAATCTAAGAAGGCAGAGGAGAGAGTGGGGCTGTAAACCATGGGTTTTATCTCTCTGGAGAGTGCCCTGGTGGCGTAATCAGAGAGGCTTGTGCAGACCACCCTCAGGCTGTTTGAATCCACAGCCCCTGCATGGGAATAAGGTGCGCGGTCTCCCCCCTGGGCACTACAGCTCCACAGACTTACTGCTAGCAGCCTTGAGTTGGTGAAGATGGACAGCAAAGACTTTGACTCTTTACTGTCATTCTTTTCTCTGTGCATGCTGCCTCAGTAAAGTACAGTGAGCTCTGGGCTTCAGTATGTCCTGTCTTCTACTTCTGCAGGTTGAGTGGAAGGCAGATGGTGGGTGAGCACCATTGATGCTGTGCAGTGGGTGTGGGGGTGTGGCGTGTAGGCCGAGGGACGGGCAGTAGGGGCAGAGCACCATGTGAGCACCTCTACATGTGCAGGTTGAGTGGCAGGGAGAGGACGGGTGGGCACCGCTGATGCTGTGTGGTGCCCTTGTAAGCACCTCCACTTCTGCAGGTTGGGTGGAGGGTAGAGGACACTGTGTATGCAGTGGTGTGGAGACTTCAGGGCGGGCTCTAGGAGCAGAGACCCAAGCGTGTACCTCTATCTCAGCAGGTTGAGTAGCAGGTAGAGCAGAGTAGACGCTGTTGACTGTGCAATGGGTTTGGTGGTGTTACCACTGAGGGGTGGGCAGTAGAGGCCCAAGTGAGAACCTCTACTTCTGCAGGTTGAGTGGAAGGTGGGGATGTGGGCACCAGTAGTGGTGTGGACCTCAGGGGTGGGCACTAGAGGCCCGAGTGACCGCCTCTACGTCTGCAGGTTGAGTGGGAGTGGGGAGTGACGATAGAGGCAGAGGCTCGAGTGTGCACCTCTGTGGGCCATTTGCTACAACCCAAGCGGATGAGGGTCTTCACTGTGTCCTTCCATTTCAGATAGTGACACGAGGCTGTGAGACGGTGGAGATGACCCTGCGGAGGAATGGACTGGGCCAGCTCGGTTTCCACGTGAACTTTGAGGGGATCGTTGCCGACGTGGAGCCGTTTGGCTTTGCCTGGAAGGCTGGTCTTCGCCAGGGAAGCCGCCTGGTGGAGATCTGCAAAGTGGCTGTGGCCACACTGAGCCACGAGCAGATGATTGACCTCCTCCGCACCTCTGTGACCGTCAAGGTGGTCATCATCCAGCCCCACGATGACGGCTCACCTCGAAGGTAAGGCCTGAGGGCCAGGGGGACGCTCAGACCCCGGGAGCAGTGTGCAGGGAGTCTCCTGCTACCAGGCAGCAGCCCAAAGTGGATGTGGGCGCCAATGGCCAGTGGTGAGGAGCTGCACTGCCAACACAAAGGCACACGGTTCAAATCCACCAGCTACTCCACAGAACAAAGATGGGCAGTTCCTCCTGTGCAGCTTACTGCATCTACACACCTTCTGGAGGGTCACCGAGGACTCAGCTCTGACTCAACCATAAACAACACAAAGCTTAAAGGTCCAACGATGTTTACCAATATAGGATAAATGATGAAGTGTGATACCAAAGCAGATTTTGGGGGAAGAAAGCAGGGCTAACGTAATGGAATTCACTGGGTCTCCTGGCCCTCCTTTATCATAGCTCAGCATTTGGAAATGTACACACTTTGTTCTGCATGGTCGCGTTCCTTTCTGTAACGGTAAGCCACTCCCTAGGTACAGAGTGGGAAAGAGCCCAGTCTCTACATGTGTAAAGGAATTCAGAAACTCAGGATCAGTGGGTTGGTAGCTCTGTTTACGAACTGAAGTTAATGTGTGTTGAGTTGTGTTTAGTCGGGACTTGCTTTAATTGGTCGAAGCAGCAAAACCTGTGGAAGGAAATGGCTACATGTGGACGACCCAGTGATTTGTAGGTGGAAGGTAGGGCTGAGTGGAATCAGAGTTCCCTTTCAGTTGTCAATAGAACATAGCCATGACCAGCCTCCAGTCTGGCCCTGCCGGGCTACCGTGGCATATCTCACTGTCTCCCTGTAACGGAGCTCCTTACACGTCGCTGCATCATGGCCTCTGGCTTTGGTTGAGGTAGGATGAACTTGGACCCAGAGGAGAGCACTGTGATCTTGAGTAATTCCTGCACGCTCACGAAACCTCGGCCCCTGTCTGTACAAAGAGACTGTGATGGTACCTACCTCATACATGGTTTTTGTTTTTACCAATTAAATTAGATGCTGTATTGTAAAACACTTAGCCCTTGGCTGACGGAATCGTCTCTCCAGACATTTTTATCTTTTTTTTTTCCCAAAAGGTAAAAGTTTCGTATATTTAAGGCAGGTGATTACAGTCCTTGCTCTGTGCAAGAAAGCTGGTCATTTCCTCCTGTGTGATTTACTGCCACCAAAAATCTGCTAGAGGGTCAGCTGTGTAGGAGATGGTTCCAACTTGATAGTGCTCAACAACAACATACATTTTTCCTTAAAAAAAAAAGTAAAAATTTAAATATATTTAGTTGCATTTCTTCCATATTCTGAATGAAATTCCTATCATTCAAAGGCAGTGTTACTGTAGTGCTGGCTTCTAGGTTTCTTCCTGAGGTGAGAATCCCAGCCATCTGTTTCCTTTCTTTGTCTTGTAAGGCACCTCTGTCTCAGAGAGTGACCTGGATGGAAGTATTCTCCTGGTTCTCTACAGCGTCTTCTGACCACGTGTGCCCTTGGGCCATCTGCAAGGGGCTAATGTGACTGGAGAACTGAATGCTTCATTTGAGCTAATTTAGGGTCACTTTGCTACATGTGACTAGTGTTTGTTGTAATGAAGAGTGTAGCTATAAACCACGGTTTCCTCTTGGAAAACAAACAAGTTGAATACCATCATTCTCTCCAGTTAATGTGCAAAATGTTGTGAGTTTCTGTTTCTCTGAATTTCTTACCATCTGCTCCCAGCCTGACATTTTATGGCCTTGTTTCAAACATGTCCAGTGTGTTTGTGACATAAAAGTTTAATGAACTAAAATTCCTCTTGAAAGTGTAAGTCTTGTGTCACATGAAATCTTCCAAATGTTTCTCATTTCCTTGCTAATTCTGTCTCATTAAATCCATTTGTTCCTGTATCCCATGAATCACATGTAGTTGTAAAGTACTAAGAAAGTATAGATGAAAAACTATTAAGGAGACCTGGAAGCAGCAAAAACAGGTCTTTTAGACCCCAAGAGTGAAAGTAATTTGTTATTTAAAATCTTTTACAGTAAGTTTTAAGCAAGTTATTACAAAGATTTATATACAGTAATATTTCTATATTCCTTAAATAGAAATAGTAGGTTTGTAGAAATTCATTGTTGTTGTGTTGTTTATGTCGATTTGCACTGACCCAAAGCAGACCCTTCAGCGGGTTTTCGGTGGCATTTAACCCTCAGGAGGAGATTGCCCATCCTTCTCCAATGGAGCAGCCTGTGAATTCAAACCACTTGCGTTTGGAATTACAGCGCAGCTTCTTGCCATTAGGCCACCAGACCTCCCCTAGAGATTAATATAGAAGTAGACAAAGATATCTACGGTATTCTTCCTTTAACTTAAAAGATAGCCATTTCTAGGGAGTAAGAAGGTAGACTGTTTGAGTCCACCAGATGTTCTACTGGAGAGGGAGGGATAATCTTCTCCTGTGACAGTCGGATCCGATTCGACAGTACACAAGGGAAGGAAAAGAGAGAGAGATAGGAAAAAATGATTTTTTAAAAAAAAAAGTATTTCTGAGGGAGCTCTGGTGGCCTAGTGACAAGAAGCTGTGCTGCAATCCCAAAGGCACGTGGTTCAAATCCACCAGATGCTGTGCTGGAGAAGGAGGGACAATCTTCTCTTGTGCCAGTTAGATCTGATTCAACAGCACACAAGAAAAAAAAATATTTTGTTGTTGTTGGCTGTACTATAGTAGTAGGAGACTTCAATGTATCACAATCTAGAAAACATAGAACTACCAGAAAGAACCTCAACAAAGATACTAAAGAATTAAATCACATAATCAACCAACTCGATCTCATAGGCATATACAGGCTACTTACTGTACACTCCTCCCCCAAAAAAAGGGATAGCATTTCTCACCTATATTTTAGTTTTAGGTTACTCTTCAGTTAAAAAAAAACCAACACATTTTCAGGAGATCTGATTAATAACATTATATTTGATATTTAAAATGTGATTTAAGAAGAGTAGCATTTCCTAAAAATAATTTATTTTCGGCAAAAACTACCACTGAAAACTTCCAGTTGTTCCTGACTTTATCTCATGACCTGTCCTGCCACTACAGAGAGCTTGTTATATGCAGAAGTCTTGGTATCTGCATAATTAACATCCACATTTTTAATGCACATAACCTTGTTGAAACTGTTCGAGATATTTATTTGGAAATACTGTCTAGGTTGATGGGATCACTGTTACATCATTGCTTAAAAATAGAGACTTTCTTTCTGACTTGTATATCGTCTAACCTTACCCAGAAGGAATAGAACTGTTTGCCTGGTAATGCACAAAAGTATTGAGCTGCTGACCAAAAGGTCAGCAGTTCTAATCCACTAGCCATTTGAGGGAAGAAAACTGGACAGTGTCTTTTCATGGACTATAAATGTGTGAACTGTCTGTTTAAAATTATATCTGTAGTTTTTGCTTTATTGGCTACATTTGGTACTTCAAGAAACTACATGTGGACCTACAACCAGGAGAAGATAAAATAGATGAATGGGATCTTTAAGCATCAAATCCCTATGCACATCCAAAAACTTCTCCACCAGGGTAAAAAGGGAAGCCACAGACTGGGGGAAAATATTTGGTAATGACATATCAGATAAGGGACTTATATCCAGAATTTATAAAATACTTGAGCACCACAACAAGATAAAGGTAAATAATCCAGTAGAAAAATGGGCACAGGATATGAACATACACTTCACCGAAGACGACATTCAGATGGTCAACAAGCACATGAAGAAATATTCAAAATCCCTAGCTCTAAGAGAGATGCAAATCAAAACAACTATGAGATACTACCTCACCCCAGTCAGAATTAGAGAATTTAACAGAACAGCAAGCAACAAATGCTGGCGAGGTTGTGGAAAAACCAGAACCTTTATTCACTGTTAGTGGGAGTGTAAAATGGTTCAACCACTGTGGAAGGCGGTATGGCGCTTTCTCAAAAAGTTGCAAATAGAGATACCATTTGACCCAGCAGTTCCACTACTGGGAATATACCCCAAAGAGACCATAACAGACATCCAAGCATACCCATGTTTATCGTGGGTTTGTTCACAATAGCAAGGAGTTGGAAACTACCTAAATCCCCTTCAACAAACGAATGGGTAGAGAAGCTGTGGTATATTCACACAATGGAATACTATGCTGCATTGAAAAACAAGGAACTCATGCAATATTATTCAAAATGGGTAACCCTGGAGGATATTATGCTGAATGAAGTATCTCATTCACAAAAGGACAAATTCTGCATGGTGCCACTATTGTAAAGTAGGACTGACCTCGGGGTTGGGAGGAGATTGAGAAGCAGGAGTTCAGTAATGTATACTGCATTGAAGCAGATGAGGGAGAAACTTTTTAAGAGGGATATGTTATTAGGTATTTTTGTCATGACAGGAGTCCAGAGCAAAGGCTGTATAGTAGAGTAGACCTGGGGGGAGGGATTATAAAACAATGAAAGAGTTTTTCTTTACTTTTCAATAGTACTTTTAGTGTACTAGGGGGGAAGGGTTGGGAGGGGAGAAAAATGCAACAGTGAATGAATGGAAATCCAAAGTCTCTGTAAATTTTCATTGAAATTAATAATAAATATTTTTTAAAAGTAATAAAGAAGAGACAAAAATAATTAAAAATAATTTGAGAGGGTAAATTTATTACTAGTAGTATTCTAAAATGAAGTAGTGGTTTTAGAAAATATTTTGTCAATTTCTCAAAAAAATTAAAAATTTAACTGTCGTATGATCCAGAAATTCTGCTCCTAAATATGTATCTGAAAACAAAGACTCAGATATTTGTATACAAGAATACACTGTCGCCCTATTCAAAATAATAAAAAGGTAGAAAAAGCCCACGCGCACATAACAGGCAAATGAATAAACAAAATAGCATGCATGTAAAAACAAAAAAAAACCCAACATGTGGGACTAAGAAGAGAAGAGGTAGCACTTGATTCATTTTAAAATAAAAGTACGGCTCTTTTAAACTAAGCACTGGTTGATGACCATTAATTA